TGCTATAGGGCACGTGCACTTGCCAGAAAGACAGAGAGAGATAGAGAGATAGAAAGCGAGAAATCAGCCCCTGGGAGGTGTCCACGCCGCAATTCCTTTTCCTTCATTCTCCCCACAGGATCTTAGATAATGCATACACATGTGCCAGGTATGAGTTTAAGTCGCTGGACCCGGGACTCAAACCGCAGTCAACTACGTGGGAGTCCAGTGACATAGCCATTATGCCAACTGCTGGTCCCTGGTCCATAACTTCTGTGTACTGGGAAACCAAAATATTCACATCACTCATTGATTGTCACACTTGCTTTATCACGTGGTCTGGAATCGAATGTGCAATCTCTCTAAGGTGGGCCTGTATTTGAAGTGTCCAGAACAGGAACATGCATGGAGACAGAGCGCAGATAGTGGTTGCCAGAGCCTTGGGCTCCAGGGTACAGCGGGGGGCTGACAGTAATGACTAAGGAGTATAGGATTTCTTTCTTTTCAGTTATTTAATTTATCATTACTATTGTAATTTGACCAGGGAGAGATAGAGATAGAAGGAAAATCAGGAAGGAAGCCGCCAGGTCTGGGACTCGAACCATGGCTGGCCATGTGGGAATCTAGTGCCTTAACCACCATGCCACCTGCTGGTCCCAGGATTTCTGTTTGAGATGGTGAAAGCGTTTGGCAGCTAGACAGTGGCGACGGTTGTACACCTCCCCTGCGTGCAGCAATGTGAAGCGGCACACTTCACAATGGTGTGGCTTGTGGACTAAACCTCGGTTTAACACATCGGTGGCTGAGGCCCTTCTCCAAGGCTGCTCACCCTGCTCCCTCCCTGCAGGCCTCCCTCTTCAGCTCTCCCTCTGGCCCACAAAGCCTAGGAGGGACAGAAAACTGTTCAGGTCCTGCCCACACAGGTGGTTCCAAGCAGGTGGGGAGCACTGAAGAGAGTGCGGAGCGTGCCAGTGGTGAGGGCAGCTGCACCCCAGGAAGTGGTGGCTGTGCCTAGAGCAGGTGTCCCCGTACCATTCAGGCCCCGCCTCAACTGCACACGACTCACTCTGATCCTCGAAGAGAATGCCCCAGCCGGTCACCCAGCAGTCAGGACGGTGCTCGAACATGAAGGTGGACGACAGGACACAGATGGGCTGGATGTACTTGTTGTAGGTGACAGAGGAGGCCAGCCTCAGCAGGGCGATGTCATGGGACACACGCCGCCAGTCAGGGTACAAGATGACATCCTTCACTTTGTACCGATTTCTGTAGGTTTGCAGCCTCCAGGCAGGCGGCCTGAGAGACAGCTCGCCCAGCTGGACTGTCCACTTGGAGGCATCAGGGATCCTGGCAGGAGAGGGCAGTCAGGGGCCCAGGGAGGAGGGCCACCCAGCACGCCTGGAGCCGCTCCCTCAGGTCAGGCTGCAGGAGGCTGCTACATGCTCACCCCCAGGGGCCAAAGGGCCTGCAGAAATGGGAGAGCCCAGAGGGGCCACAGCCAAAGTCCCAGAACCTGGGCACGGAGGGCGGAGCAGCAGAGTGCCCCAGGGGACCCTCCCACACCTCACAGCTGTCCTGGGGAAGCCCAAATGCAGCGGAGCCCTCCAGTGGGGCCCTTGCAGCCCAGAAAGGGGTGAACAGAGGCAGGGGGGCCCAGGTGGCAGGCTCCGGGTGGAGGAGACGGAGCAGCGTCCCTGGGAGGGCACCCCACTGGCCACGGCGGGCCACCCTCACCCCTCGGCTCAGCCTCCCACACCTGTGACATGCGCACGCAGTGAGGGCTGAAGGGCATGCAAGGTGGGTTAGAAAATAATATATATATAAATATGCATGAGGATGTTCTGGAAGAACATTCTGGAAGAATCTGAACAGGTTTCTCTCCAGGAGTCCCATGGGGCTCTCCGGTGGGTCTATCAGCTGCCACAGGGCCAGGAGAGCCCCTGGCCGCCCCTGACTGCTAAGTGCGCTCGGGCCTATAGGTGGCAGTCGCGAGCAGCCCCCTCCGCACTCCCACCTGCGGGCTCACCTGTCGAAGCAGTGCGCGGCCGAGAGCACCCAGCGGCGGCTCAGCAGGCTCCCCCCGCAGTACTTGGTTTTACGCAAACGCACCAGGGCCTGCCAAGGCCAGCGCCCGCGCCCGGATTCGACTCCTCCCATTATCAGGGAGTGAATGCGTCGGCGGCCGCAGGACTCTGGGATGGACCACCGGACCACCAGTGACTGCGGGAGCCAGGCCCGCCTCGCCCCCAGAAGTGCACGAGGAGGTGGGCCACCCCTGGAAAGGAGCCGGCACAGGGGCCTTGTGCCTGTTCAGAAGTTGCGCTGCGTAGGGAGAAAGGGAGGCTGGGCCCTCCGCCCCCCAACCCCGTGGTCGGACGACACCGCCCGCACCCCTCCAACCCTCTCCCGAAGGGCCGTCCG